TAGGGACATGGTTTAGTGGTGGACTTGGCAGTGTTAGGTTAATGGTTGGACTTGATGATCTTAAAGGTCTTTTCCAACCTAAACACTAGTAGTTTAAACTGTCCAAACCAAAATAAATATTAAAAGAAGTCTTTTTAAAAAAAAAAAGTGGAAAAACTGCATAATTAATCAAGCTTCTTCACAAAGGGAGGTCACTTTTGGAATGCCAGAGCTCGTGCTCCTCAACACTCAATGATCTGAAAAGGAGGTTGAATAAGATGACTTAAGTTTACTAGTAATACCAGACAGAAAAAGAAAAGCAAACAGATACCTCATGATAGGAGCTGGGCAGTAAAGCCCGAGAAGAAAATTCAACGTCGATAAATACAAGATTGTTTGTGACACAAAAACAATTCCAAATTTACACATACAAACTCTAAACTATTACCACTCAATAGTTCCATATTATAAATAGGTAGTTCCATAAAACTGTCAGCTCAGAACCCAGCAAGAGTTAAGGACAGCCTTAAAAGGGGGAAAAGAACAGCAGAAAAAGACTTGTCTTTGAGGTTGTGCAGAGCAGAGTTTAAGACAGGATTTGGATTTTTTCCTCACTCATTCCTGCATGGCAGCATGCATCATCTAGCCCACATTTCTGCCTATCTGGACTTCAGGTTAAGTTCTGCATTTCACCAGCTAAATCATTCACCAAACCTAGTCTGAATTTTACCCTAGGGTTATCAAGTTCCATGTCCCCACAACCCCACACCTGAAGACCCCCATGCCTGTAAAACAGTTTTTGAAATGCCAGCTCTATGGATGTGTAAGCCGGCAACTTGTTCAGTGCATCTTGAGACATTTCTCCCAGGTATTGCAATAGTAACAAATTGCAGTATTTTTGTCTCAAGAATACGCCATTGTTAACTTTGTATTTTTTTTTACTAGACTACAGAAAAGAATCCTGATTTTGTAATTTAATTTTCTATGTTTTAATGTTACCTCTGTATCAACGTGAAGGCAAAATGCCAACCTATAAATGGACTAATACTGTAATTAAGATGATTTTTTTTTAGAGAACCATTATCAAAAGGCAGCACTTTAAGAGCATGTACTGTTTATTGTAAGGATTGTCCAATAAAAGGTGAAATTTCCTAATTACACATAGTACTTATATAAGCAATACTTCAAGAAGCTCAAGGTAAAAATATCTACCTAGTTAGATGTCTATTTTAATTTGTATTCCTCTAACACCTTTAAAACCCAGATGCAGAAGTTGCATTGTGCTAGGTTATTGTAGTTGAACTCAACACCTTGGGGCACTGCCTACCTTGTACCTGAAAATATAATGGATACTTCACATGCTATGTACTTGAAAAACACCTGACCCACAAGCCCTTTAGGTAAAATGAAAATAACTGAGTTCATTGGAAAACTCCAATGAACCAAAAGCTGAACCAAAATGCTAATGAAGAGTAAGACAAGTCGACAAAAGCCAGGAATCAGATACAGTAAAAGCAGCCAAACGATGAAAGAGAGGAGCCTAAACTCAGAATGACAACCTAGGAGAATTGACTCTAAGACCAACAAGTTTAACATCTAGGACAGATAAGAAACAATTCATTAATCAGTGAGAGAGGATCAACAAAACCATTAAAAAGTCACTCAAACATAATGCAAGCTTTTTCTTTTTCAATCTAGAGAGCTCAAGAAAGGTTCACAGTTGTTAACTCCCGGTTCTCTAAACTCTTATCTATGAAGAACAAGCAAATCAATTCCTTTGAAACATATTTATCACACAGCTTCAATCTTGCAGCTTTTACCTGTCATAAATACCTTAAGTACTTCAATGACTGTACAGGGAAGCTTACAACTCTCCACAAGCACCATCAGATCTAATGAGGGGGTGAGAAAGGAAATCAGAAAAAAAAAAACAAAACAAAACATACCTTGTGTTGCTCTATTGCATCTACCCACTGTTGTCTGTGGTCTGGGTCCTGAGCTCGGAGGTACCAAACACTATCGTTTACGCTAATATCAAATCTGCATTCGTCAAAGTCATGGGGCTGTGACAGAAAAGAGTGTAAGAGTAGCTAAAATTAGCAACATGATCAACAATACCTCACAGAATATTTTGACACTCTAAAACACTGTAATTAGAAAACCTGGTCTATATTGTCTTGAATTCATCCTAGATTCTACATTCCATTTTATGTAGCCGTCTCAAATAATGAACATACACTCTCATAATGAAAAATGCTAGTCTTCTGAAATAGAAAAGGCTGTTTAATACATTCTATTAAATAAAACAGTCACAAAAAAGTTCCACACAAACATTGACCAAAACTTCATATTTCAAAACAAATCCTTTAGCAAAATAACTACTGGACACAGCCAGGAAAATATATCTATTTTTTTATTTTAATTTCAAAGTAGGAAAAAAATAATTAATGTTATTGCTATCAGTATTGATTTTAGATGGAAAGAATACACACATTGTAGCAAAAAGCACCAAGAGAGAATCATAAAAGCAGACTATAGCCAAGCAACAAGAAGAGCGGGAACAAAAGGAAGCTGTGGCACCTTCTGCCTCAACTATATTCACAATTTAAGACAGGATCGTCAGATAATTGGGAGAAACATGAGTCCTTTCCAACATCGCTACTTGAATGCACCTAACTTTCAGTTCACATGTCTCAAATACTAAAAAGCTTTCACTCACATTACAATTATTGTGGTTTAGCACCAGTTGGCAACCAGTTGGCGCCAGCTGGCACCACACAGCCGCTCACTCACCCCGCCCTGTGTAGGATGGGGGAGAGAATCTGAAGAGCAAAAGTAAGAAAACTCATGGGTTGAGGTAAGAACAGTTTAATGATTTAAATAAAATAATAATAAAAATTGTAATGAAAACGAGAGAGAAAGAAAACCCAGGAAAAAACAAGTGATACAACTGCTTACCACATGCTGACCAATGCCCAGCCCAGCCCCGAGCACCGATCACTGCCCCCTGGCCAACTCACCCCAGTTTATATATTAAGCATGACATCATATCATATGGAATATCCCTTTGGCCAGTTTAGATCAGCTGTCTTGGCTGTGCCCCCTCCCAGCTTCTTGTGCATCTCCAGCCTTGTCAGTCAGTAGAGCATGGGAAGCTGAAAAGTCCTTGACTGGTGTAAGCACTACTCAGCAACAACCAAAACATCAGTGTGTTATCAACATTATTCTCATACTAAATCCAAAACACAGCACTGTACCAGCTACTAAGAAGAAAATTAACTCTATACCAGCTGAAACCAGAACACACCATTGCCAATTAGCTCGGCTTTGGCCGGCAGTGGGTCTGTCTTGGAGCCATAGAACTGGCTCTGTCAGATACGGGGGCAGCTTCTAGCATCTTCTCACAGAAGCCACCCCCACCCCCCTTGCCCCAGAAACCCAATACAGGACATCAAGTCTTATAGTCCAGGCCCCTCTTCTTCAAACTGCATTTGCTACATTATTATTACTACATATGAGAATGGTGTTTATTTCCTTCAGGGTAGCAAACCTACCACATCAATGCATCAGGCTTATATGCCTGTTCCCAGCCACCCGTCTGCCAGGCCCTCCTTCAGCCATGTGGTGGGGGAAACACATCTACAACAATGCAATATTCTCCCAAAAATCACCCAAAAAGGAAGTGTACAAGAATTAGCTATCAAAGTTCTTCATAGAATCATAGAATGGTTTGAGGTGGAAGGGACCTTAAGCATCATCTGGTTCCAACCCCTCTGCCATAGGCAGAGACGCCTTCCACTAGACCAGGTTGCTCAAAGCCCCATCAAACCTGGCCTTGAACACTTCCAGGGATGGGGCATCCACAACTTCTCTGGGCAACCTGTTCCAGTGCCTCACCACCCTCATAGTGAAGAACTTCTTACTTATATCTAACCTAAATGTACCCTCTTTAGTTTAAAGCCATTACCCCTTGTCTTATCACTATGCTCCCCTGTAAAAAGTCCCTCTCCAGGTTTCTTGTAGGCCCCCTTCAGGTACTGGAAGGCCTCTATAAGGTCTCCAGAGCCTTCTCTTCTCCAGGCTGAACAACCCCAACTCTCTCAGCCTGTCCCTCACAGGAGAGGTGCTCCATCCCTCTGATCATTTTTGTGGCCATCCTCTGGACTTGCTCCAACAGGTCCATATCCTTCTTATGCTGGGGACCCCAGAGCTGAATGAAGTACTCCAGGTGGGGTCTCACGAGAGCAGAGTAGAGGGGCAGAATCACCTCCCTTGACCTGCTCGTCACGCTTCTTGTGATGCAGCCCAGGATATGGATGGCTTTGTGAGCTGCGAGCACACATTGCCAGGTCATGCTGAGCTTCTCATCAACCAACACCCCCAAGCCCTTCTCCTCAGAGCTGCTCTCAATCCATTCTCTGCCCAGCCTGTATTTGTGCTTGGGACTGC